AATAATAACCGTTACATTCCCCACCTCATTGACTCCGCATTATTATAGTACGCACAAAAGTCAAACACGATCCACCTACTTGTCTTCCACCTAAAAGTTCCATTGCAACCAGTAACAATCTAAGACATGAAGCTGCAACTCGAGTTAGTTCTCGTGGATCCAACGTGATGATCATACATACATGTCTCCTTCCTCGGCTAAGAACGTAACTGCATGCGGGTAAGGAGACTCGTGAGGGAAGAATCTGATAAGCGAAGCTTATGCTGACTTCAAAGGGCGATGCAGGCGAGCTAATATTATTACAGTGTAAAAGTAATTTGCAGCATGCATGCAGGCTCTTCTGATCACACAGACGGTCGTCTTTAGAAGCAAGTTTCATGCGATATCACATTTTTGTGTTGATCCGTTGGGTTCCTTCTTGAGGGGGGCAACCACGTACTTCACGTTTAGCAGCTGCCATTAACGTGTCCACCAGATTGTCCTCCGATGTGCAGCTTAGTCAAGCCACAAAAGAACAGCCTGCATTAAATATCAGTCTCGAGTCGTTCGCTTCATCCTTTGCATCACCTTCGCTTCTCTCTGTATACCCTTTTGGTTCTCGAGTGAGACATGAAGAGATGCAGATTCGGAGGAGGAGAGGGAGAGAAAGAAGTGGCCTGCATCAACATGGCCAACGTCTTGTTGCTTCTTTCACGAGGACGCAGCGGCGGCGGAACACAAGAGAGCGACTACTTGGTGCAGTCGTCGTCGGAGCGGGTGTTCGAGTGCAGAACATGCAACCGGCAGTTCCCTTCGTTCCAAGCGCTCGGCGGTCACCGAGCGAGCCACAAGAAGCCGAGGCTGGACGGCCACGGCCACGGTCAAGCGCAAGCCGGGGCGGCCGCCAAGCGAAGGGTGCACGAGTGCTCCATCTGCGGTGTCGAGTTCGCCATAGGGCAGGCCCTGGGAGGCCACATGAGGCGGCACAGAGCCACAACAACCGGCGGCTCCGGCCTCATCCTGGCGGCGGAGAAGCCGGTGGAGCGGAGAGGGAAGCTTTTGGACTTGAACTTGCCGCCTTTGGAGAATGATATCAAGCTCGGTCCGGGATCGGAAGTCATGGACGAGATTCCGATGGTGGATTGCTGGCATTGATGAAACATTTCTTTCATTTTTGTTGCCATTTTGTTCAATTTTCGTCGTTATATTTGCGTTCCTGCGGTCTGCACATTCCTTGTCATGGTTGGTAGTGTCGAGATTTATGGGAGACTACTTATTCATATCGATGTACAGATTCAATAAATATTTTTGGTATATTTTTTGTCCTTTTCGAGGAGAACGTAAAGAACAATAAATGATCTCTCTTTCTTTTTCGGTATTTGTAACCCATCCATCATTTTGTCATCTGCAAAAAAGAAAAGAAAATTATTGTATGAGCAGAAAGATCGCTTACTGTTATTCGATTCCCCATTTAATACCATTGGATCCGTCCGACACACGAAGACTAATTGACTCTCACATTGAGGTGTGGAGTTCTTCGATGCATTTACTTCCCCTAAGATCCATACATACATCACTCTTCCATTTGTAGCATCAATGTTTTCTCTCTCTCTCTCTCTCTCTCTCGATCTACTTCATTGTGGCATCAATGTTTCCTCCTCTTCCATCAGGTGGCGATCGGACCAAGTACATTTCACCCATGTTCATAATATGGTTCAGATTTCCACCAAGGAAAACAAAAGACAGTGTTTGCTTCTCGGTAATCTACCCACCTTTTCTCTCGAGCTCAGGGCATTCATGTAACTTCATGGCGGCGGATAAGACATCGTCTTCTCCCATATATATTATATATATCTATATATGACTCTCTTCTGGCGTCGCCATGTTCGTTCCTCTCATTTAATGCGAGGGTTTGGTCAATGTCCGAACGACATTAAAGCTGCTTTGATAGCTCTGCTTACTTATACTTTGAACCTCCGCCTCCTGCTGCCTTGCTCCCTTCTACTATTTCCTGTGTCTCCCACGGAAGGATGTCCGAAAGGCCAAGTCGTCACCAGAGGAGGGCATCGCAGACCGTCTTCGCTCTGCCGGAGAGCTTAACCAGCTTTGAGGCTCCTCCAATGGAGGGTGGTGAGAAGAAGGCTGCAGCGAGGTCGGGCAAGACATCATCAACGGAAGAAGCTGCAGATCCTTCACCTCCGTCGTCGGCTTTGGCTGCTCAGGAGCTCAAGCAAGGTGTCCCCAAGAAGCATTAAGAAGACCCTGGTTCTACTCTCTTTTACGAATGCTTAGTAGAGTTATGTCGGTAGTAGTCAGCGGTGTTGCCTTGGTTTCAGCAGTCTTAGCTTGTTTCACTGTCATTACTATCTATGTAAACTACACATCGGCTGGTCGGTGTGGTGGAAAATAAATGTTGGGAGTATGCACTGCTTTGAGGTATGTCCAGCTTTTGGTAGAATCTCCCACTGGATCTGCAAGTTTTCTTGTTCCTCCATCTGCAATGGGCGGCAGAGAATGAAGAAAGGAAGGGGAAGAAACATAAAGAGGAGCGATGTTACTTGTCCAAGATCAAGGTAAAGGTAAAAGTAAAAGCTGAGATGCAGCAAGAGAAACTGCTCTGGATGGAGCATTGCACCCCGGGCATGAAAAGGAGGCCGCCTGTCATCTTGTCCAACCAAATATGTGGTGATAATTTGTACAGAGCGGAGCAGAGCAGAGCAGAGACCACCGCAACAAGGAAGAAGATATGCTCGAGACATCATCATCTACACTCTACTCCCAAGAAGGTGCACGGACTTGGTAATAAACTCGAGACCAATCCTGACTGCAACATTTGGGGGATCAAAACTTCCCCAAGCTCTCCATTGTTTGTATCTTTCATGGTAATTGGAATTCAGATTGCTGGTAACAATAATGATCCACCTCGACTACGAATAGGTATCGAGGATCAGAAAAAAAGGATGGACGCCAAATGTGGTCCACCATAGTAAGTATCAGTTCGACTTGATGTGGCCATATCCATGAAAGTCCAACAGACACAGGCGGAGGTGTTACAATTGTCACTCCATAGTATTTATGATATCCCATTTTTCCTGGTTTGTACATGGGAGGGAGGAGGCAATGCAGACTGCTGCTAAAGCACAGCTGCCCCGCTGCAGCGTCCTCTCTGCTTGCCATCATCATCACCCTGGTTTTGTTCTTTAGCGATTGAAGCCACCCCACTTCATTGTTTGGGTGGGTGGGAGGGTATCTTTCCCATGCTCCTGGGAAGTGGAATATGTGGAACCAAAGGGTATCTTTCCTTTAATCCATGGTGGCGATCATCATCACATTTTTTTTTATCCTTTAATCCATTAATCCTTTAATCCATCGAACAAAATGGCAAAACATTGATGAAGCATGCTACTTTTGTTCCAAGAGAAAGAATTCCCTTTTCTCAAGACCATTATTAGTCATGAGAATGCTAAGAAAACACTTTACTAAAAGTTATAATATAAAAATTAATGTTTTTTTAATTTAACTAAAGATATTATTGTATATATAATTCAATAGCAGATTAAAAAAAAAAAAAAACAGAAGAGAAAACCCCCTAAAATAGAATATTAAAGCTGCTTGTTGCCGTGTCTAATGCTTTGGTACAACAAGACCACAACTAAATGTCACTTGCTTAAAGATCAACCAAATATCTTCATCATCTGACGCATAAACTTGAAATCCAATAACAGCATCCTCATGAACAAACATAAACAGGAGCAACTTTATTGTAAACACAGACTGCACAATGGACTATTTAATGTACATCACACATGAACTAGTTTATTAACCTGTATACTTAAATATGATGGGGGGCCCTTGTACCCTTTCAGTCATGCTAAGGTTGTAGGGATAAAACAAACGATTTGTAGCAATCCACAAAGAAGACCTGCCTATAGCTCTACCTATAGACAAAGCGATAACTTAAAGATCCCACAGAATGGCACTACCAACTGGAGACAAGAAATTTAATGGCACCATACCATAGAGATCCAAGTAATAACGCAACATCAAGGTGGTGATGCAAGGGATTCAGGATCATACATACCAGCGAGAAATGCAACTAAAACACACAGCATGAGGAAGGCTATGATTGCAGCCCTCAGGACATGGTCACAGTTACCACTGAAAGCAAGTTCATGAGTTGGATAATCATCACCAGCTGACTCATCTTCTGAGACATTCCCACAAGGTTGAATTCTAGTTTCAGCCATTCGACTTGATGGCCAGTCAGCAACAAGGTTCTCACAGTTTGAACAAGTGCAATTCCCTCGTAGAAAAGCAGGCACATTTTGAAGGAATTCAGATAAGACCTTCTGGTAAGATTCTCCCTCGATACGTAACTTCTGCCGAGTTATTGGCTTTAGAACCTATTACACCAAAGACCGCAAATTAGCTAAATCATATGCATGTCTCAAAGAAGAAATTAACAAAGAAACACAAATGTAGGCCTAGAAGCATAGAAATTGTATGATCGAACAAGTTACATATGCACTCGAGGCAAATACAATAATAAATGATTCACCTATTTTATTGCATTACCAATATTCCAGCTCAAAAGTAGATAAAAGAAGCTTTTTTTTATTTCAGAGCATTATTTACTGGACAAGCTCAACAGTGAAGGATCCTGCAGTATAACATAATAGAGATATAAGGAAGAACCTTCAAGCATTAAACTTAGCATTGTGCTCATGCTTAAGTCACCATTCTTATAGTTGCTTGGGAAAAAGCTGAAAGTAACAATCTTAGCTTCCAGCCAAGTTGCCACCTCAACCTATCTTTCTCTTGGGAACATATGACAAAAAATAAAGTTTTGGATAATAATTTATTAGAATTTGTCTTAACTTTGGTCCCCAACTATGCTGCTATTATAGCTATTAAATATTTGTTGCTTCAACTTATTCACCTCGTGACACTATCACAATATTCTTGTAGCATCTAAATGTAATGAAGTTTAGCAAGCAAGTATTGGCCCTTGCTCAGACCAGTAAATACCGGTCAATATGCTGATTTGCTCGTACCAACAGGCATTTGAAACTTTGAGACCAAGGCACACCCTAAAAATTAAAATCTTACTGATGTACAAAATTAAACATAACAAGTTAATTCAAATGCAAAAGGTGCTGAAATGACTGGACTCTTGATAAACAATCTATAAGAAAACCAGTAGAAATTAATTTTTTTTCTATAGAGAAAATCATCAGCCTTAACAGGAAATGAGCATAAATACAAACTTAGTAATACTGCAGTGATTGACAAATGAAGTTTAACTAAGAACAGAAACTAGTTCCATCTACTAGTGATAGACATCCGCAAATTTCAATAAGAAATTGAAATATGAAGAATATCGAACAACAACGATGATAAATACAATAATTACTTGAATAATTGTCTGAGCAAGAACTCGAACAACTGGAGGAAGACGTAAAACAAATAAGCAACCAAGTCGATTTGGATAGTGATCTTGTACAAGAGAGGAACAAGATCTCATCATTTGCATCGGGAATTTGAATGGAGAGATCCCTTCGCAGTCCATTAGAACAGTGACACGAGGATCTTCTTCATTGATCAAATGCAGGATTCCATGTTCTAATTGAGAAACTGCAGCAATTCAAAAAATAACAATAATGTAATTGAGATGTTAGCTAAAAGCCGACATTCCTGAAACCTAGCTGCTAATGACAAACAAGATTTATTTATCATATTTATCAGATTATAGACTTGACACGTTAATGTTCTTGCCAAGTAGGTTAGCATCAATCAGGAGTCATGGATCAGGAGTCCTACACATGATGTGAACTATTCACACAACAGGTCTACTGAAATCTCATTTGTAATTGACTACAGTATAACTTCAGAACTCATCTGATAGAAAAAAGTATCTAACAAAGAAGTACTCTAGTGAGAGAAGAAGAAACAAAAGCTGAAAAGATAGTTCAAATTCTTACTTTGATTTGATTGGAAAATACTGGACAAAATAACACACAATGAATAGTTCCTTAACAAGCACATACAGCTAAAAGTTTTGACAATTAATAAATAATAAATGAATTGACATGTCCAAAGATTTCCAAAACTTTTGATGTGAATAGTAGCTGTAGCAGTAGTGCTGTATACTGCTCATGTGAAATGTGAATAGTAACAATCCATACCCAGACAACCATTGCACGAAATTGAGCTCTTCAACATTTATTGATAAGAGATTAGAAAATTTATGTCTGTGAGCTTGAATGCAAGGGTAGATAAAGAAAACAGCAGTAGCGACTGCAACAATATAAGAGAATAAGTTTGCTGCTGATCCTCTGATCACTCATAGTAAGGGTCAACATCAATGGTGGTCTAGCAACTTTAGCTTCTCTAAGAGAAAAGTTGTGGAATAGCATGCTTACACCTTCTATGCTTCTTTCTTGGTGAAAGAAAGGAAA